CGGTTCCCGCTCACTGGTTGAGCGAGGCGCGGGAGCAACACCGAGGGTTGTGATCCCGTTGCCGGTCCCCAGTCCGGTACGGGGGCAACACTGAGGGTTGCGATCCGTTGCCGGACACGGAAAAAGACAAAAGACAAAAAAAAAAAAACTCCACTGATCTCTGGGCATTAGCATTTTACTATTTCAAAACCTAATATTCATTCAGTATATACACCAAAATATGGATCTTCTTCTCATAGACTTTTAGCTAACAGGATATTTAATGTGATATTATTTTTAATAATAGAAAAATTAAATAATACATTCAGGAGGAAATTAATTAAATGAACTCTAATATTTTCTTATAAGACAATATATTCATTGATTTAAAATGCAGAAATGGGCTTCCAGTCAAGATGGTGGAAAAGAAGGTCCCCAGTGTCACTCTCCCACAAATCAACCAATTTACAACTATAAAAAAGCAACAACAGCCAAGCTAAGGCCGCAAGAGCTCAGGGGAAGAGGAGGACAGACCTATGGAGTGCATGAAGGCAGGAGAAGCCACAATGAGAAAAGAAAAAACTACTCTGACCATTTCGTGCCATGGCTGCTTTAAGGCTGGAGCTGCTAAGCACACAGAGCAGGAGCCGGCAAAAGCCTTTGCCACAGCTGTGCCCTTCAGATGAAGTTGCTTGGAGGCGGAAGGGGAGAAGAGGGCCTTGGTGGCCCCCAGGCCAGCAAGACCACCAATAGGGTTCCCATGAACCCACACAGGACGGAGGAGCCACAACAACTGAAAAAAAGGAACCATTCAGAGGCCACTGAGTCATCACAAGGGACCAGTATACAGCCTGTCCTATGGGAAATGTTTGCAGCATGGGCAGTAGGGGAGATAGGCCCACTGGGGGCACAGCAAGGACAGCTGACCGGCACCCCAATCAGCGAAGAACCAGTCAGAGAAGACTGGTCAGGAATATAGAATTGCATGGGGTGCAGTTTGATGAAAAGACTCAGACCCAGACTAGAGTTCAAATCTCTTGAGAGCTGGAAGTACCTATAAAATCAACCATTAAAACCTGAGCTGCACAAAAAGCCTTCCCTAAGGAATCACCAGCAAATCGGCAATTTAGCCAAACCACACAGCTCAAGTACTGGTACCCACAGGAAGTTCCCCCATTTTAGAAAGTAAGCAAAGGACAAAAAATTAGTTCCGGTCCTGCCAGGGGTCCTGAGGCATGGAGCCACGGATTGGACCCCCCTCCCACAATCAGGTTCAAGGCTAGCACATCAAGGCCCACCCAGGGATGTGAGGCATGGAGCTGGGGACCAGACCCCCCCTCCCACAACCAGGCACACTGCAAGTGCCTTGGAGCCCACCCAGGGACCTGAGGCATGAATCCAGGGACCGGACCCCCCCCCCCCCCAACCAGGCACAACACCAGCACCTCGGGGCCCAACCAGGAACCTGAGGCATGGAGCCAGGGACCAGATCCCCTCAACAACCAGGCACACCACCAGCACCAAGGAGCATGCCAAAAACATCATCTCCATGTGGGTGGACCACCACAACCACCAAAATAACCACAGCTGCCGTGAAAGTGGCTAGATGCCACAACCACCATGCAGATGGTCCTCCAGCCACTGGAGTGCATTGACACAAGGAGAGTAACCACCAGAGACCAAAGAAAAGAAGATGAAGTCTCCTTCCACAAAGCCCATTCCAGAAACATCTGCTCTATGATAATATTGGGGGACCTGAACACACCTCTCAGCACTGGACAGATCATCTAGGCAACAAATCAACAGAGTAACCATTACTCTTTTAGAAGGAGAGAAGAAATCTAGGGTTATCAGAGGTGGAAAGGGGGAGGGATGGGGATGGGGAGAGATTGGACAAGGGGCATAAAGAATAAGTACGATTTGTAACAATATATATGCTAGTAATATTGATTTGATCAACATATTTCAACATTGAACCCCCTAAATATGTATAGTCAATTATGATTCAATAAAAATTTTAAAAATTAAGTTTAAAAATAAATAAATAAATAAAATGTAGAAATGTATGCATTGATTCAACAAACATTTAAGCATTTATGTTTGGAACACACTGTTGTTTTTAATCACAAAACAATTTAAACAACTTATACAACAATATCTACAATGGAGAAATAGTAAAATCATATATCAAAATGTTAACAGTGGTTAACAGTATAAGTGAGATTAAGGGTGATTTCTTATTTCTTTTTCTTAGTATTTTAAAAACTTTCCACAATGAACATACATTACTTTTGTAATGTTAATAAGTCATTAAAGATATCTACTAACAAATATGATAAAAACCCATTAGATGTCTATGGATTTGCATATCCATGAATCAACTCGTGTTCCTTGAAATTTAACATTTAATGAGAGTTATATAACACGGCCTTTTAAATCCTAGTTCTATTTTTCACTAGCATTAATAAAGAAGTAGTTATTTACTACATAGCTCCAATATTTCAACAGGCAGTGGAGTTCAGAATAGGGTTCTAGTTCTCATTGTGAGACTACATCACAGAACATCTTGAGCAAGGTAATTTAATTTCATAGAGCAAAAAGGTAGGGTTTCGATGATAATCTCCAGGACTCCTAGCTTTTAGTTATCAAGTTTACCTGCCTGCAATAATTTAATGCCCCAAATCATTTCATTTTCAATACACAATCACAATTTGATCCTTATATGCATCATTGGTGACTGCAAGCTTAAGAGCAGCATGAAAAAACCTACACTCAGCTCTATGATTATTGACAAGAGTGTGGATGTGTTGTCCCCGCCAAAACTCATGTGGAAATTTGATCCTGAATGTGGCAGTGTTGGAAACTGACTGAGTCGTGGGGGCGGATCCCTCATAAATGGATTAATGTTCTCCCTGGGTGAGGGAGGATTGATGGGTGAGTTCTTGCTCTATTAGTTCTTGTGACAGCCGGTTGTTTAAAAAGACCCTGGTACCTCCTCTCTCTCTTGCTTCCTCTCACCATGTGATCTGCTTGTACCTGCTGGCTCCCTGCCACTTTCTGCTGTGAGTAGGAGAAGCCTGATGCCCGTGCCAGATGCAGCTGTCCCAGAATCGTAAGTCAAATAAACCTCTTTTCCTTACAAATTACTCAGTCTCAGGTATTCTGTTATAGCAACACAAAACGGACTAATACAGTTATATAGAAAAAGAATACTATAACTTAGGATATGTTCTTACCTTAGCAAAAAGGTGATCCCTATATTGCTGTTGAGTAACAAATTTTTTATAACATACTACACAAGCAAAGGAATTGACGAAAGGTCCACGTAATGTAATTGTTGGATCACATGGAGAGTGATCAAACCTACTCAACAAGAGATAACATTAGAAAAATCTGTGTTCTAGGGGAAGAACTACTGCTTCATTTGTGAAGCTAAACATATACACACACATTCAGAACTTTATACTTCCCTACTTAAACAGTAAATAATGTTCTTCATATTTAGGTGACTCCCACATGCCAGGCAACCCCTTCAGAGAGTGATCAACAGTTAGTTCAAGATTTCTTAAAAGTACTCAAGAGCCAATAAAATGCATTTAAGTGTTTCATGCAAAACTGGTAAACTTTCATTTTGAAAAGGATAAGCCCATCATCTTTTCCTTCTTGACTTGGTTACCATAAGATTCACAAATAACTTTAAATGAACCATTGCAATAATAACCTCATGTTAAGATTTCTGGCACACCTCCTATAAAAAGCTTCTAATCCTCTTAATGCTCATTTTAACCATTTAGCAAATTTACTTCACTTTAAAATGCCAGACTTTTTTTTGTCTTTTTTTTTTTGTCTTTTTTCCGTGTCCGGCAACGGATCGCAACCCTCAGTGTCGCCCCCGTCCCGGACCGGGACCGGCAACGGGATCTATAAAAAGCTTCTAATCCTCTTAATGCTCATTTTAACCATTTAGCAAATTTACTTCCCTTTAAAATGCCAGACTTTTTTTTGTCTTTTTTTTTTTGTCTTTTTTCCGTGTCCGGCAACGGATCGCAACCCTCAGTGTCGCCCCCGTCCCGGACCGGGACCGGCAACGGGATCGCAACCCTCGGCGTTGCCCCCGCGCCTCGCTCAGCCAGTGAGCAGGAACCGGTCTGTATGTGGGATCCGAACCCTCGGGCGGGAGCGCCGCCGCGCTTCCCAAGCGGCGCACTATCCAGTGCACCACTGGGCTGGCCCCTGCCAGACTTTTTTAAACAGTTGAGATACAGTATGCTACCCCATTATTTATAGACTGCTACAACTCCCTCTAGAAGGCCCTCTTGGTAGGGTAAAGCATAAGGAGGATGAGATATTTGGAAAAGACAATGGCTTAGAGTGCCAAACTCTCAATTTCCCATCTTTCCACCAGTAGAAAGGGGGACTGTGGGCATAAGACTACTTAATACCTTTAATGCTACCTTCTTGATATTTTCTTTCTCAAACTCTATTATTCAAAAATTTAGTAAAGCTCTACTATTCAAAAACTCAGTAAATTGATAAAATGGGTTTCATAAATAGAATATTTCTTTATTATTAATTTTGCTTACATTGGTTTGCCTTTAACATTTTATTTTAAAGCCATTTGGCTTTCTTTAGGCTAGAGCAAAACCTGTAAGTACTCTGTGCTTCTTGCAATTTACACTTATGGGCTAAATTTCTCTAAAACTAATCCAACTGCATTTCAATGTAAAACTAGCCTGTTTAGAATTTTATGAGACATACTAAAGAGAAATACATACTTAAAGGCTACCTACACTCTTAAAGAAGACAGAAAACACTAGAAAAATCTGTGTATTCACCAAGCCTTCTAGGAAACCTAAGAAATATAAATTAGAAATAATATCATAATAGCACAAAACAATTTGAGTTTGTAATAAATCACAATGAAAGACTGGAATAATCACTATGACAGAGGTGCATCACACTTGCATGTTATGAAATCATTTTGTAAATCATTTGCTCTTCAGTATCCACTATTATTAAGATCCTACTTACCTTTTTAAATGTCCTAAGAGAAGGTGCCCATTGTCAAATTCCTTGTTACAGTGCATTATGGGACACGAAATTGGTTTTGCAGACACCCGCACTTGGCCTCCTCTTCGGAATGAACTTTTTGTTCCAGAATTAATTATGCCTGTTTTGAGTCCTATGTTACGGGAATATAAATTCTTAAGTTACTATTTCAGATACTGGTCCTTTGGACTGGTAATCAAAATTATGACCAAAAAATGAAAATTATAATACAGCATCAACTGGGTGGTCCTAATTATAATTAAATGTTTACAACCTCTCTTATAAAAGATATAATAACCTAAAAGTAAATAAAGCTATTTGAGGGCCAGCCTGTGGCTCACTTGGGAGAGTGTGGTGCTGATAACACCAAGGCCACGGGTTCGGATCCCTATATAGGGATGGCTGATTAGCTCACTTGGGAGAGTGTGTGAGTGTGGTGCTGACAACACCAAGTCAAGGGTTAAGATCCCCTTAGCGGTCATCTTTTTTTTTTTTTTTTTAAAAAAAAAAGCTATTTGAAAGCAAAAAAAGTCCCTAACATCTCCAAGTAGCAGTCTCTTGAGAAAAAAAAATGTTAAAGATCAAATGCATTAGAAAATCAAGGCTCTACTCCCTTCATTTCATTTATGTAAGTTGGTAAAGATCTTTTCTCCTAATTCTTATTTTCTCTTTTAACTATCTTAAATGAATTACAGTAAATTCCCCTTATCTGTGGTTTCATTTTTCTCCGTTTCAGTTACCTTCAGTCAACCATGATCTGAAAATATTAAATGGAAAATTCCAGAAATAAACAATTTATAAGATTTAAATTATGCAATGTTCTGAGTAGTTGATGAAATCTCACCACCAATCCAATCTGTACCACCAGGGACATAAATCATCCCTTTGTCCAGCATATCCACACTGTAGACACTACCTGGTTACCAGACCAATTATCACAGTATCACAGTGCTTGTGTTCAAGTAACCCTTATTTTATTTAATCATGGCCTCAAAGCACAAGAGTAGTGATGCTGTCAGTTTGGATATGCCAAAAAGAAGGCATAAAGTGCTTCCTTTAAGTGAAAAGGTGAAAGTTCTCAAATTAATAAGGAAAGAAAAAAACTATATGCTGAGGTTGTTAAGATCTAAAGTATGAATGAATCTTTTATCTGTGAAATTGTGAATATATTATTATCATTGTTCTATTTTATTATTAGATGTTGTTAATCTCTTACTGTGCCTAATTTATGAATTAAACTTTATCATAGGTATGTGTAGGAAAAAACACAGTGTATATAGGATTCAGTACTACCCTCAATTTCAGGCATTCATTGGGGATCTTGGAATGTATCCCCTGCAAACAAGGGGGAACTACTGTACAAGGTTTAGATATATTATAGATAACAAAAGAAAATGGTGTCAGTCTGATCAAGGAACCTACAATGGAGTCAGGAAGCTATTTTAGCTTAAGCTTCAGGCATGTCTCATCCAAAGATACCCTAAACCTTTGAACTCTTGTAATCAATTACATCCGAAGGCACCCCTAACTCTTGGATTTTTCTAATCAATCACATGGGTCACAGCATACTAGAAGAATAATGACCAACAGAACTGCCAACAATCTGATGTCTGTTATTCCACAGACCTCCTGTCAAAATGAGGAACTTCTAGCTGAGGATCATCTCTCAGTCCGTTACAACCAATCCCTTACTGCCAAGACTACTTAAGAATGCTTGCACCAACTGTAATGTCAGACAAACAAGTTTTGTAACTACCTCCCCTTCTGTTAGGTCCTTCTTCTTTTTTAAGCCCAACTTCTTTGTTTCTCCAGAGCACTTCTCAAGGTAACTTGGAAGTGCTTCCCAGGCTGCAGTTACTCAATCTGGCTCAAATAAACTCTTTGTTGTTTAAGTCATGCCTTAGTTTCTTTCCAGGTTCACACAGAGGATCTGGGTTCCATGAAAATTATGTTAAATAATGTAACTGGGGCAAAGAGGGGAGAGTGGAGAAAGCAGGGAGGCAAGAAGGATAAGAGTGTTATTTTCTGAGGAATCCAGCCACTGATCAATCAGCTCCAACCTGGACATCAAGTAACACCAGTGTCAGTAATAATAAATTTACAGAACACAAAGTAGAGATTTAATTATTGTTGATATCGCTCCCCTTTCTTTTATCCTATTTTGTCCCTTCTCTTTTTCCTTTCCAAAAGCCATTTAGAAAATAGTTAGCTCACCATTACTTTTTTCTCCTAATCAACCCTGGTCCATTCTTCATCCCTTTCTTTCTTTTAGATGTTGGTCTTAAAGTCACACAACTCTTATAGACTAATCCCCCTGGCCAAATTTTGTTCTTAGGGAAACTCCCAACACATGATATATGATGAAAAATTTAGAAAGTTATGTTGTGTAGAAAAAGAATTGTAAAACTGCCAGAAAGATTCTGATACACAGATAGCTTGATTACTGTCTCTCTTCTATTACTATCTGTTGTGAACTTTTTCACTCAAACGCCTTGAATATTTCATACAACAGAAAACTGGGTATTTATCTCTATGGCAATTTCTACAAAGCTCCTAAGCGTTGAACTAGAATAAAATTATTCTCTTAACATAATCTAGTTTTTAAATCCCAAAATGGTTACATATGCTTAAGGTTTTAACTACTTTTTTCTACTGTGTTAATCCTTATGGGGGGAATGCCACTATCAAACTGTGAAAATGTTTATAAATGTACTCTGACAACAAATAGACAGCATAGCATTATAATCATATTTTAGTCTTAATGAGGCATTAAATGATACATCTTTTTATCTTTAACTTTTTTAACACAGTCAGAATTATGACAATTTTTACAACTGTCCATCCACATTCCAGATGTCTTCCATTAGGACCTTTATTTAGTTATAAATAGAGGCTCTGAATAAAAATAAAATTGGAGAAAATAAACCATTGAAAGAAAATAAGCCTTTCCCATGGAAAGGCAACATAAAAGAGATTTAAAGAGCTCCTTTCCTTAAATAGTGTACAGAGCATTGTTTTAAAATTACTAAGTATTCAAATTTATGCAAACTGGCCCAAATGTAAAAGTCCATAAAGAAAAGATTGTCTAAAGTTAGAGTAATTATAAAGTACTTAAAGTACAGTTTAACCACAGAACTGAATTATAATAACTGAGTACTTTGGAATAGATTGAATAAGTTCTTTAATGCTACTGAAGTAGAATCTCACTTTTTATAATTAAAGAGAACAATGACTCCTCTCTGTTTCCCCCAGCTATAACCTCTTAAAAGATCTCAGCATTCTCCAAAGCACATTTATGGAATAGCACCATACTAAATATAGCCCAATACTAGAGCAGGTTCAAGTAATATATGCCAAACTTCATTTTTACATTGTTTCAGGAAGAAAGCAAAAAGCCAAACTCATCACAAAAAGGAGTATAACTACAGGCCTTAACTCCAGGCTCAATCTTATCAGTCATCAATGAGCCAGGTGTGACCTGAAGGCACACAAAATACCAAATCTTCAAAGTACCATAAAGACACAGCTAAATAACTCCTTTGTTCCACTTGACCTGCACAGGAAAATACATAAACGGATGCTCAAGAATTCAATTTACAATGCATTAAAATATTCTGACAGGGCTAGCCAGTCACTTGGGAGAGTATGGTGCTCGTAACACCAAGGCCAAGGGTTCAGATCCCTATATAGGGATGGCCGGTTGGCTCACTTGGGAGAGTGGGTTGGCTCACTTGGGAGAGCATGGTGCTGACAACACCAAGTCAAGGGTTAAGATCCCCTTACTGGTCATCTTTTTTAAAATTAAAAAAAAATATATTCTGACAATCTGGAGGCCAGGGATTAGGCCTAAAGGGGCATATAATTGGACCAACAACCATTCTATACAGAATTTGAAAGTGATAGACTCACCTGAGATAAACAATTTTTAGACGAGATCTTAGAGATGGTAAAGCCTTGTCATTCCTATACACCTAGGGATCTTCCCAAAGCTATGGATGCCTTAGCAGAATCTCTGGAGATGCCGAGGCCTAAGCATCTGTTTAAAAGCTTCCAGGTGATTCTGATGCAGCTATGTCAAAACTATTGAGCTAGTTACTAACTTCTTCCATTGAGAACTGAATGTACATCAAGAGGGATTTATAAAAACTACAAGCTTTAAAAGAACACCCCAAGAGGTAAAACCATTTGCCATATTTTCTAAGTACCTTTTGCAGAAGTAGGTCTGGAATGCCATACAATTCTTTTGTTTAATTGAATAATAGTCAGATTTGGAATCTAAGTTCTAGGCTTCCTTTCTGTGTTCATTATGCAAATATTTATAGCCCACCTCTATATAATATTCAATCAGCATTTACTGAGCATCTCTACACTGAGCATTCTTTTTAAAAATTGACTCAAAAGGATCAGTGAGTGTCAAACCAGGGCTGGGTCTGGAGCTGACAGACCCCTCAAGCCCATTCAGAGACTGGGTCACAATTCCTTCACATGCAGGTCTCCATGCCTGAGGCAGTCAATGCCAGCCAGGTGGTGGCGCTGCTCATGTGCACTAACTCCACCCACACACAACTTATTTACAAAGAATGCGCCACACCACCCCCAACTGGACCTAAGGTGAGGGGGGCCTGATTAAATTATTCTATTTTCCCAACAGTGAGAACTTGGTCTCTGTCCCCAAGGAGCATATAGTCTGGTGAAAAAGGCAAACACATAAACAGATAAAAATAACAGAGTAAATACTGTATTAGAGAAATGAATAAAGTACTGTGAGATCAAAGAAGGCTGAACAACCAAACTTATGCAGAATAAATAAACCTAGATAGGCTTCTCACACTATTGGACATAATATACAATAGCCATATTAACTCAGCAATCCCTAGTATTGAGTATTATCTGTGGGCTTCATATTAGCCCCACAGGCAAATGAGAAGAAAAAAGAGGAAAAGGAACTTAAAAGAGGGGGAGGATAGGTAGGGTGGAAGTTGCTTAGGCACAAGCAGATTGAGAGATAAGAAGGAAATACAGTCTGTGGGGAGGTCAAGTGCCAAAAATATCTATTGCATCAGGTATCAAATGAGATGAACTGCTAAATACCAATATAAATATAAATCATTAGAATTATTTTAAAAGTGGTAATTTGAGTCTATTCAAAAGAAAGCCCCCTCCAAACTAACTTTAGAACAAGATACCTAGGTTCAACAAAGTTAAGCACTGCATGCATAGATATTTCTGATAACTTTTTGCAGTTAAACCTTCTGTTGGATTAAATCCACAGCTAAGGTTTCTGTGACTACTCCAAGCCTTTAAGGGCTCAGGATATTCTATAAGACAGATTAGAAAAATAACCACAGTGCTCTTAAAAATTCCACCAAATTATCTGGTGGGGGGAGAAATCTTCCACAGTGACTCTTCCATGAATCTCAGGTCTGCAAAGGGTTAGTAATGAAGATGCTACCCAATGCTTTAGATGAGTCTCCTATATGGATGTTTCCTTACAAAATACTTTCATAGGCAGCACTGCCAAATAATGAAGTAAACACTAATCCTCTAGACCTCAGTTTAAATTCCATTTCCTTAGAAAGGACTTTCCTGACCTCAAATAACCTGTTACACACCCTCCCGTAGACACACATACACTACTTCATGCAGTAACTATTAAATATAAGAGTGAATAAATGAGCAATATCCAACAAGCTCAGGGATATTCTACATTGCTTATACTCAAAATATACTTATGCCAAAGAAGGAAGACATTTGGTAAAGTAGGTCATTATAAAGTAGGCCATTATGAGGTAATAGTAGTATCACTAAAATTAAATTTCAATACCCTACACACATATTAGCAATTGAAAAAAACAGACATATGGGCTGGCCCGGTGGCGCACTGCTATAGTGCGCCGCTTGGGAAGTGCGGCGGCGCTCCTGCCGAGGGTTCGGATCCCATATACAGACCGGTTCCCGCTCACTGGCTGAGCGAGGCGCGGGAGCAACACCGAGGGCTGCGATCCCGTTGCCGGTCCCGGTCCGGTACGGGGGCGACACTGAGGGTTGCGATCCGTTGCCGGACACAGAAAAAGACAAAAAAAAAAAAAAAGAAAAGAAAAAAACAGACATACTTGCTGCTTTAAGGCTTTAGGAAAGCTTGATAACCATAGTGAAAAATTTAAAGAATACCTGGCATTTTTAGCCACTGGTCCACACACAGTCTTGCTGCTTCTGTATCAGAGTGTCCTCGAATAAATTCCAATTCTTGTAACCCATGGGCGTGCTGAAAATCGACTTTTTCCTAAAGATAGTTTTAAAAACTCAATTAGGTTCTGATTACTAGTCTTGTTTCCTTGAGAAAAAGATTTTGACACATCTGTGATCAGAAAACACTGATTACTCTCTATCCTCAAATTCTACAACTAGGAAGCCATGCCAAATATGTTGAAACAAAAGTTTCTGCTCTAAGATGTGGATCCCAAAGTTATTAGCAAAAAATTCATTACAACCTACATCTCCAATAATAGGTAATTGTTTAAGTAAATTATCATACTTACATTTGATGTAAGTCATTAGAAATACTAACAAAAATTTACCAATGATATGGCAATACACTTTCAATATCAAGCAGGTCACCAAATTGTTTTAATCAGATGAGGCAAAATATAAACAAAGAATAATTTCAACTTACAATACAACTACATCTGCAGGAGGAAAAAAGGCTGAAAATAAATATAGTAAATGCTATTAATGGCTATGTATGGAAAATGTGAAACATAACTTTTATTTAAAAAATTTTGTACATTTAAAAATTTTTTCCATATTCATTTTGAAATATACTGAAGGAGCCTAATAAATATTTGTTCAGTGAATAATAATAGCAGACACTCATTAGCACTTAATATGTGATAGCATAAAGCATTTGTTACCATCTAGATCAAGGGTTGGCAAACATTTTCCACAGATGGTAAATTAAACTTAGATAGTAAATATTTTAGGCTTTGCAGGCCATACAATCTCTATTGCAACCACTCAATTCTGCCATTTAGCACCAGAGAAGCCACAGAGAACATATAAATGGATAAGTTTGACAGTGTTACAACAAACTTTTATTTAAAAAAACAGGCAGCAGGCCAGTGTCAACTGCTGAACTTGATGCTTCACACTGCTGCTCAAAGTCTCTAAATCTTTCTAGTTATATTAGCCATAAATCATGCTATATATAGCAATTAATACTTATTGACCACTTATATGCCAGGCACTGTTTTAAAAGGACTTTATATTTAATTCTCACAATAACTCTACGAGATAGGTACTATTATTGTTTCCATTTTATGATAGAAAAACTGAAGTACAGAGAGGTCACATAAATTGCCCAGGGATATATAACAATACCAGAATTCAAACTCTGGTAATCTGATTCTAGAATCCATGCAATGAATGAGTACACCATACTGCCTCTCAAAAAGATTTGTATGCACTTAAAAAGAAATCACAGAGTCAGAAACACCCACCAGGTTTGGAAGGCCAGAATAACGCATGGCCTGGTTAGCAACATAATAAAATTTTCTATCAGGAAGGGTAAGTGGGAAGAAAAGGTGAATTAAGATTTTAATCTGAAGAAAATCTGCACAACAGTGTTCAAAGTACAGGCACAGAATACTAATTCTCAAGGATGTTAATATGCATATATACATTTTTTGAAATTGTCTGTAATCAAATTAAACAAGTAGAGAAACACTAGTCTTGACACAAAATTTAAAAGCTTTCTTTCATGCAGGACTTCTGAAGTCCTAAAGTGCTAATGTGTACTGTGATTTTCCATAGTGTACAGCATCCCAACTTCATACGTCATTAAATATTTTTTTTGAAGTGTATCCTACAGGATCAGTGTTCTGAATAGCATGCTACAGGAAACAAACAATAGTATAACTAGTTAGCTTATCCAAAGAAAGCAATAGCCCCTAGTAGACATATCCTAAGACATTTTCTTGATGGATTGAACATTTTAATTTTACCTTTACGAAATATGTTTAGTTGCCGTGCTGTGTTTAGTTTGTCAGTTCCCTCAAAATTGACTTTTATATTAGAACTGCTTGACCAACCTTCCCTTTATTATTGTTTGCAATGATCTACCTTTATCTACCCTTTTATCTCATTATTTTAGTATGTGAAATTTGTCTCTCTCTTTTTTTTTTTGGTTGCTGGCTGGTACAGGGATCCAAACCCTTGACCTCGGTATCTTAACACAGCACTCGAACCAATTAAGCTAACAAGCCAGCCCAGACATTATTCTTATGTACAAAATTAAACCATTTACCAAAGTTCCTTATAAGAGTCCATTAAAATAAAAGCTCTTCAATTAAAGTAATATAATTGAGATTAAATATTCCTACATACCAGCTAACAGTATATTTATTTTAAACAATTTCTAATAATTAAAATGAAAGGTGTTTTAAAGTTCTCTGGCATTTTTATTTTTTGGCAGCTGGCCAGTATGGGGATCTGAACCCTTGACCTTGGTGTTACAAGGCTGAGCTCTAACCAACTGAGCTAACCAGACATTTACTGACTAAAATCACCCCAAAAGTATCCACCCTTTTCCTCTGTCACAAAGCTACGTCCACAAACTACAGGTTTACAGCCCTTCTTGCAAGTCATCTTAACTCCTGGAATACCAATAAGCAAAGGTGGTAGCTGATCAACTGGTCAGCACAGCACATGATCTCTGAAAGTGAAGTATTCAATGAAGATTTTAATACATCTTTTTTTTTCTTTAAAACCCATCCATCACAAAAGGAGGACGATCTACTTTACAAATAAAGAATATAAGAATTCACAAAGGCCTCGAGTAGCCGAAAAACATTTTCTATGGTATCTATATTTGGCCAGAATCATCACTCACTAGAGTACTTAAAAAATTACTTCTATTTCAGTTTCATTATTTTTTCTTCTGGGTTTTGTTTTTTGTCGTCTAATTTTAAAAAACAAGTTATCCAAAAAGGGAATCAAATTAGAAAAACATAATCATGAATGGATAGCAAGCAATGGGCTAAAGCATTTGTGTGAGTCATTTTCTTCCTTAAAAAAGAATGAAACTTATACAAATTTATTCTTTATAACCAATTAAACAAAAAAATTCAAAATCTCAAAAAACTTTCCTCAATGTAAAGACTTTAATATGATGAATGAGTTTATATCAACAGAAGCTGAAACTACCCTTGAGAAAAACCTTAGTTTTCATAGTGCCTATATAAGATTCTGAGCTTGTCATAAAAAATTTATTATCTATGTGACCATTAACACTTCTTGGGAAAAGAAGCCAGTATCACTCAAAAAATCTGGGGGAAAAAGATAATAAGATAGTTTGCAAATGACTACTCTTTCAAGGAGATTTTCTCCATGACCCATTAAAAAAAGCCAAACATACTTAACACAGTTTTGGGAAAGAAACCTCCTTAAAATTGAATAGTGTTTCTACCAGGCTAGAAATAATACTGTGTGTTTGTGTGTGTGTGCATGCAAGCATCTTTACGCATAAGCATTTTAAACATACAATTAGAATACCATGGTCTAATTTAGTGGGTATTACATCATAAAGTTAAAATTCCAACAATAACCTTCTTCTAAACTTAAAGAAGATTCATTTTATCAGACTAGGAAATATTAAAACAGAGGCTACAGAAATACACAAATTCCTTTATAATAACAAATGGAAAAGGAATAAAAAAATATGGATGTTAAAATGATAAAATCATAGTGTTTATCCCAACCTGGGAGACCATCTCCAAGATATCCCTTCACAGAATGAAACCCAAATCTATAAAAGCAAAGTGACCTGTTGATATCCAAACCATTGCTGGCAGATTTGAATTTCCATTTTGATACTTCTAGTATGGTTCTTTTTTTTTTTACCCAACTCATCAACATCCTATTTCTAATAGATGCCTGTCAGTATTAAGAGAGTTTTTTAAGTAATTTGGGGCCTTCTAAAGAAAGTCAAAGAAAAAATTTATATCATACAAGATTTTAAATTAGACTTCATTTTCCACATAGTGGCTCTTCCACAATCCTGCTTCAGTTTTTTTCCTTTAAGTAATGGATTTAATTTGGAAGGGCTGAAGTTTGAGAAAGTAGTCTGGCTCTATTTGGTAGAAAGTAAACTTTGAACAGCTTGTATCTATAAAAGCCCTTATAAACTCTTTTCGCTCTTACATACAGTAACCAGAAACACTTGTTTATCTGCTTTGAGAAATCCCATGATTTTAATTCCACTCAATTCTTTTTTGTTCTTCTTTTCCTATACACATATAAGAAGCCAATGAACTAAAATCAAGAGATGTAAAAAGCTATCATGAATTACTACCAAATTGATGAGCTTTATATGGTACATGCTAAACTTGGATTCAATCATATATTTTTTGATTAAAGGTTTCTCTTTACAACTTTACTGTAAACACTTCTATAATTTGGTAAAACACCAATTTAAAAAAGCTACATACTCTGAATGCTCTGTTCTTCTCTTCTTTCTGCTGTTTCTCCACTTCAACATGGCGGGCTAGACGAGCCAGAGTTAAAGCAACTTTATCCTTCTGATGGTCAATATAGTCTTTACGTTTAACATTCTCCTATAATAGGAAAAACAATTTTCATTCCTTTTAATTAATTAACAAAATTAGCATTTGGACAGTATATATCCACTTATCAATTAGCTTTTGTATTAAGGAACCATTTACATACTTTTCTGTTATCATCAAATTTCTAAGAACCTGTCTTATGTATTTTATATTCTATGTGGTATTTTGCAGGTCAGCCAATTATCCACCGGCATCTTTGGTTTTCAAAGTTAGACAAACTAGCTGCTAGGACATTTATTATCTTTACACAATTTATAATCATCTGGAAATGGAAAAGTTTAGGGTTTCTTAGCTCTGAGTCAATAAGGTAACATCAACAAGCCATAAGTCCACACTGCAAAAGGCTTAACAGTACAAATATCCCTGTCTCTGATTTTCTAGCAATGTCAGGAGAGTATTTACTTAAGGGAAATTATTGGTTAAAAATAATAGATCTGACTTCTGGTTTACAGAACAGCATGTAAGAAGCTTTAGGACAGAGTGGCAGCTTCTAAAAGTAAAAAGCTGAACAAACTGAAAAATCAACTCTTCTTAGATCTGTCAAAAAAGTGAAGTCATAGGGCAAAGTGCTGCCCTTCAAAACTGAAGATAGAGGCAAAAAAAGAGCAATAACTTATTGAAGCCTAAACCCACAAGCAGAAACCTCCACAGGAAGTAGCACTTGGGCAGGAAAACCTGAACTGTAATTGACAAATTACAGGAGGCTCAGTGACAAGTCTGAGAGTCACGAACTCCAAGGGATTCAGCCATACATGGGCTCATTTTTGTGCATTTACCTCCAAAAGCTCTACCAGATTCTCTTAGTGAAGATTGGAGAAAAATTCTCTTATGCTTCTGGCAGGGGTGGGGGAAAGTAACCATACTGAAATATCCCAGAACATTCTGTTCTTCTTACCAAGGCCTGCTCTATGAAAAACTACTTTACCAGATCCTAACCTGCTAGGGTTTTACCAGTGCCTAACTACAACCAGGGGAGGAAAATATCTAACTCCAGCCCCCTTTAGTTATCCTGTCTCACCTGGAAGGGGAAGAGGGAGCATTGAGAAGCACTACTGAAGTTCAATCCAGGGACACAGGTTCACTAAAAGACTGAGATCTAATCAGAGGGCTACAGACTGCTTCCTCCACCCCAACCCACCCCCACACCTTACCACTACATCACTAAAGCCATATTTACCACAGTTCCTTTTGACCAGTATATCATGTCCACATTCCAACAAAAAATTACAAGGCATACTAAAAGGCAAAAAGCATAGCTTGAAGGGAAAGAGCAAGGGTAGAACCAGACATGACAGGGATGTTAGAAATAGCACACTGAATTTAAAACAACTATGATTAACATGCTAAGGACTCTAACAGAAAAAGTAGACAATATGTAACAAAAGATGCGTAATGAAAGCACAGAGATGAAAATTATGAGAAAGAATAAAAAAATGCAAGAGATCAAAACACTATAACAGAAACAAAGAATGCCTTTGATGGGCTCATTAGTAGACTGAAATGGCTAAAGAAAGTCTCTGAGCTTGAAGATATGCCAATAGAGACTTCCAAAACTGAAAAACAAAGAGAAAAAAAGACTAAAAAAAGAACAGAATATCCAAGAACTATGGGACAACTACAAACAGTGTAACATATACATAATGGTAACGTCATAAGCAGAAGGAAAAATATATATATTTGAAACAATAACCATAGAGAATTTCCCCAAATCACAGACGCCAAACCACTGACCCAAGAACCTCAGAGAATACCAAGCATGATAAATGCCAAAGTAAATACAAATACTGCATATCATATTCAAACTGCAGAGAAATAAGATAAATTAAAAAAAACTTGCAAAAAGCAAGAGGAGGACAAACAATAAGAATTAAATCTGACTTCTCTTCAGAAACCATGCAAACAAGAAGAGAGTGGAGTGAAATATTTAAAGCATTAAGAGAAAAAAACCACCAACCTAGGATTCTGTACACCATGAAATTATCCTTCAAAAGCAAAGGAGAAATACTTTCTCAGACAAACAAAAATTGAGGGAATTTGTTGCTACTCTACCTACACTGCAAGAAATATTAAAAGTTCTTCAGGGAGAAGGAAAATGGTAAAGATCAGAAAATCTGATCTACACAAAGAAAAGGAGAGCAACAGAGAATGGATAAGTGAAAGTAAAATTAAAACTTTTATATTTCTTATTCTCAACTGACCTAAAAGATAACAGTTTACATAATAGTAGCCACAATGTATATTACGTGTACACACTTGTGTTTGTGCGTGTGTGTATATACATATACATATACTTATTTGTGCTTATATATACATGTGAAATGAATGACAGCAATGATACACGGGGAGGAGGAAGGAATTATGAATATTTTGTTGTAAGGTACTTGCCCTACCTATGACATGGGATACTGTTCTTTAAAGTGGATTTGGATTAGCTATAAATGTATATTGCGAACTCTAGGGCAATGACTTAAAAAGGGAAAAAAAAAAGTACAATTATGTCAATGAAGAAGAGAAAATGGAATTTAAAAAATGCTTAATCAAAGCCACAAAAGGCAGGAAAACAGTAGAAGACAAAACAAGGAACAAAGAACACGGGCAACAAATAGAAAACAGTAATAAATATGGTAGATATTAATCCAGCTATAACAATAATCACTTTAAATGCCAATGGTCTAAATACACCAATTAAAAGAGAGATTGTCAGAGCAAGACCCAACTACATGTTACTTACAAAAAACCTACTTTAAATACTGAGACACATATCGATTAAAAGTAAAGAGATGGAAGTATAAATCTAGGTCCCTATCTCTCACCATTAACAAAAATCAACTCAAAATGGATTAAATGCAAGACCTGAAACTATAAAACAACTACAAGAAAAAAAAAAGGGTAACACTTCAAGATATTGGTCTGGGCAAAGATATGATGGAGAAGACTTCAAAAGCACAGGCCACAAAAGCAAAAAGACAAATGGGACTACATCAAACTAAATCTTCTGCATAGCAAAGGAAATAATCAACAGAGTGAAAAGACAACCTGCAGAATGGGAGAAAATATTTGCAAACTATTCACTGGATTAATATCCAGAATACAGAAGGAACTCATACAACTCAACAGCAAAAAAAACAAATAATCTAATTGTAAAACGGACAAATAACCTGCATAGACATTTCTCAAAAGACAACATACAAATAGCCAACAGCTATATGAAGAAATGCTCAATATCACTAATCATTAGGGAAATGCAAATCAAAACCACAAGGAGATATCTCACCCCAGTTAGAATGGCTATTATCGAAAAGACAAAAAATAACAAATGCTGGCAAGGATGTGGAGAAAAGGAAACTTTTATATACTGTGGGTCGGAATGTACATTAGTACAGCCATTGTGGCAAAGAGAATGGAGGTTCTTCAAAAAATTAGAAAAATTACAACTACCATATGACCTAGCAGTCCCACTACTAGGTATTTATCCAAAAGGAAAGAAAATCACTATAGAGAAGGCATAGCTGCATCCCCATGTTTCCTGCAGCACTAGTCACAATTGCCAGGATATGGAATCAACCTGAGTCTATAAACAGATGAATGGATAAAGAAAAGGTGGTGTATATATACAATGGAATAATACTCATTCATAATAATGAATGAAATCCTGTCATTTGTGCAACCTACAGAATCTAGGTCCCTATCTCTCACCATTAACAAAAATCAACTCAAAATGGATTAAATGCAAGACCTGAAACTATAAAACAACTACAAGAAAAAAAAAAGGGTAACACTTCAAGATATTGGTCTGGGCAAAGATATGATGGAGAAGACTTCAAAAGCACAGGCCACAAAAGCAAAAAGACAAATGGGACTACATCAAACTAAATCTTCTGCATAGCAAAGGAAATAATCAACAGAGTGAAAAGACAACCTGCAGAATGGGAGAAAATATTTGCAAACTATTCACTGGATTAATATCCAGAATACAGAAGGAACTCATACAACTCAACAGCAAAAAAAACAAATAATCTAATTGTAAAACGGACAAATAACCTGCATAGACATTTCTCAAAAGACAACATACAAATAGCCAACAGTTATATGAAGAAATGCTCAATATCACTAATCATTAGGGAAATGCAAATCAAAACCACAAGGAGATATCTCACCCCAGTTAGAATGGCTATTATCGAAAAGACAAAAAATAACAAATGCTGGCAAGGATGTGGAGAAAAGGAAACTTTTATATACTGTGGGTCGGAATGTACATTAGTACAGCCATTGTGGCAAAGAGAATGGAGGTTCTTCAAAAAATTAGAAAAATTACAACTACCATATGACCTAGCAGTCCCACTACTAGGTATTTATGCAAAAGGAAAGAAAATCACTATAGAGAAGACATAGCTGCATCCCCATGTTTCCTGCAGCACTAGTCACAATTGCCAGGATATGGAATCAACCTGAGTCTATAAACAGATGAATGGATAAAGAAAAGGTGGTGTATATATACAATGGAATAATACTCATTCATAATAATGAATGAAATCCTGTCATTTGTGCAACCTACAGAGTGGGAGAAAATTTTTGCTAACTATGCATCTGAAAAGGGACTAATATCCAGAATATACATAGAACTCAAGCAATTAGGCAGTAAAAAAAAAAAAAAAAATGACCCAATTAAAAAATTCACAAAGGAGTCGAATACACATTTTTCAAAGGAAGACATATAAATGGCCAACAGATACATGAAAAAATGCTCAGCATCACTAATCATCAGGGAAACGCAAATTAAAACCAACCTGAGATACCACCTCACTTAGTTAGACAGGCTATAATCAAAAAGACAGTGAATAACAAATGCTGGCGAGGGTGTGGAGAGAAGGGAATACTACTACACTGTTGGTGGGACTATAAATTATTACAGCCACTTTGAAAAACAATTTGGAGGTTTCTCAAACAACTACAGATAGATCTTCCATATGATCCAGCAATCCCACTTCTGT